CTGACTGATCCTTGATCTTAACGAGGCTTGGTAAAATTTAACATTTAGTGATCTGCTGTCTAACATAAAAACAACTCCACTTGACGCATAGTCTGGCTAGGGATCAGTTACATTTTAGTAGTATTATATAAGTATTTAAATTATAAATAATACATAAATTGTTCAGCGAAGAAAATTTTCTTTTCGACGAAATCATTTACTTAAGCTGTACATTTTCTTCGCTGAATTCTCTTTTTCTTATTCAATGACACTATGAGTTATTTTAATTACAGAAATTATTATTTAGAATTTCTTTCTTTTTTTTATTATTAAAAAGCAATTTATTCTGGTATTTTCTTTTATTGTACTGATGTAAATTGTAATTGTTTGAACTAATACAATAATTCGAATGGTATATAAATGAATAACGATTAAATTTACATTTATAATCAGTCATATGATTAATATAATTAATGCTAACAAATATAATGTGATTAGTTGGTTAATCTTTAATAATTAAGTTTTGAAAAAATGTATTTATTCTATAGTATTTCTGAAATTAAATAGTTTCTAACTGAGTAGTTTAGATAGGATTATAAAATGAAAACTGGTTGTTTTTTTTGGTGTTACTTTGATGATAATGATTTTAAGTTGAGTATCTGTACACATTGATTAATAATAATAATAATAATAATAATAATAATAATAATAATAATAATGGTAATGACAATAATAATAGTAATAGTAATGACAGTAATAATAATGATGGTAATAAGTCATACATGAACTCTTAGTGAATTCAATTACATAACTTCATTATTATTTTAAATTTATCATGTGATTAAATGATAAGTCTCATTTCCTAATTGATGATGTAATCACATTATTTATTACTCACATGAATTTCTATGCAAAAATAATTTTGCCGGAAAAAATAAATAAATAAGCAAATTAAACATGTAAATTTTTTTTGAGTTTTTATTTTTCAACTAAATTGAAGTCAATATTTTTTTGTTTTCTGTTAAGTACTTATAAATGAATTAAAATCGAGTGCAAGACTGATAGGTTCTGGGTTTGAATTTCGTGAGAGAGCGGGATTGTGGATGTGCACTGTTGAGGAGTCCTATACTAGGACGAAACGACCGTCCATTGATTCCAGGTTTTCCATGGTGGTCTAGCTTCAATTGAATCATGATTTCAACTATTGAAATTGATGAAAGAGTTTATAAACTTTCTTTTTATTATTTATTAACAGAAGTTTGTATTTATGAAATACGATAATCATTGTCAATGATTCTGTTATTTAATAATATCAGTCCGATGAACCTTATTTTAACAGATGTTTTTATAATTTGGTTTTGAGCAAGGATTTCGAATTTATATCCTTTTTTATAGTTAGAGCTGCCAGAAAAGGGTTGTGAAGATTGTTGGATTTTAATTGAGATCATGAACGGACCAATGTTAGACCACCATTGAAAACCTGAAGGTAATGGATGGCCATTTCGTCCTGGTATGGGATTCTTCAGCAGTGCGCATTCACGATCCCGCCCCCCCCCCACGAGATTCAAACCCAGGACCTATCAGTCTCGAGCGCTTAGCCATTAGACCACTGAGCTGGCATCCAACAGTGTTAATGTCTAACTTCAACCGTACACCATTGTCTTCGGTGAGTTACTACTTCACAACAGACCCGGTTGAACTGATAAGTCCTGGGTCCGCATCTCGTGAGACGGGATCGTGGATGCGCACTGTTGACGAGTCCCACACAAGGACGAAACGACCGTCCAGTGCTTCCGGGTTTACCATGGTATTCTAGCTTCAATTGACTCATGATTTAACTATTGAAATTTCTAAGATCTCCGCAAAACCCCTTCTGATTAATATTAGTTTGAGCTAAGGTATATTCTGACTTGGATTTATTCTTGAAACTTATTAATTTTCAATGCTTGGATTTGTGTGACGATCAAGAAAAGATGAAATAAACTACAAACTATTCAAATGTTAACATTTTTATGTTGAATATTTTATGTTTAATTATTTTGTATTATAGACAATTTCTACTTTCCAGTGCTTCCAGGTTTTCCATGGTCGTTTAGCTTCAACTGACTCATGATCTTAACTACTAAAATTACTATAATATTCACAAAGACCTCTTCTAACATAGATTTAACTGTTTTAACGTTAAGATTTTTGTGAACTAACGGAGGGGGTAGTTGGTGAATTTATCAAATTCTTACGAAAATATCTTGAATTGTTTGTTATATATCAACGTGTTTATTTGAATCTTTCCATTGATGTTTGAAGCAAACGGTACTGGGTTGGAGTCCAGGAGTGGACATCAACTCTGGGATGCAGGTACATCCAACTGACAAGTTCCAAATAAGACAAAACGCTTATCCTAGATTCCATTGCTAGCCACCATCCATCTTTGCTTATGAAGCCATTAGTTCGTGGTTAGATTTCGAAATGGAATACTTGCATATTTCGGTGATTATAGGACTCAGTCCTTATTCAGTATGTTATAGATGTAAACTACGCTCTAATTAAATTCGTTTCAGTAACTGGTTAGTATCATTAGACCTACCAAGTAAAAGTTGTGTCTTAAAACTAAGTCTGAAATGTTAAAATCTTAACTAAATTCATGACGACGGCTGTTAACATACATTGATACGAATGAAGACCTGTGGTACTTTTCGGAAGCTCAAGAATAAAGCCACTAGAAACTTAAGTAAACTTATCGAGGCAGAAAAATAATGAAATATGGTCAATATCCACTAAAGTTTAATCAATTTATTTTCTCTGTTTCATAGTCGGCTTAAATTTCGAAAACTGGCATACGTGCGTCCTGAGCGTATTACTGTCCATGAAAAATCAATAATAAGCACACTACATTATCACCGATTCTCATTATATATATAACGTTTTGTAGTTTCTAGTGTTTTTCATCAAGAACAAAACCTATTGGTTCCGGTCTGTGATAAATCAATCTAGTTAGAACTGTTATTTAAGAAACTTTTATGGAATAATCGACCATATACAAAGTTAGTATTCAGTCAAAAATTGTAATTTCTGAGAAGTCAGTTGTCTTTTCAGAAGAAAATGTATCAAAAATGAGTTTAATAGAAACTTCTCACTGAATCTCCCTCGGTCAATTTTATAATACAATGAACTAATACATTCCTTCACTGTTATTTATTTATTTTAACACATAGATATTGGCGCAAGGAGGCAACAAATACATATGCGCTACACAAATCTCACTCGATATGTGTGAGGGCTGTGATACTGCCCGGGTGCCTAGACCGAAACAGGTGGTTTTCTTAGGAGGCCACACTACGAGCCTTCGACCCAAAGGTTTGATCTACAAGTCAGTGGAGCATCGTAAGGAGATGCAGTCCCATGGAAGCCGGTGACCAACAATTGGTTCATACGCCATTTGTTCCCGCAAGATACTGGAGCCCATGTGCACCATTGATTTGGAATCCGGTTAAAGCGCCGAACATTCGCTTTTCGTCCTCTCATTTTCGTTATGTTTTATGCAATCATGTAAATAGAATACTTTTCATTTGAATTTATTCCCAGTATGTTATAACGGGAAACTATAATGTATTCATATATGGATATGTGATCGAATGGAGATTGGTCATGACAACTGATTTATTATTATAATTCAATTAAGCTAATATTGGTTATTCATTAAAAACAAACGAACAAAGTAATTGTAAGACTAGAGTCATTTAGGTTACTAGATAATCTAACTAAAACCTTAATGGATTTTTATCAGCTGTTTTAGAGTATCGTTTTAAATACACTAAAAAAATTTAATACTTGACTACTTATATATTTTTGATGGTAGATAAATTAGCAAAAAAACAAACAAAAACAATCACCAATTAAAACATGAAAACATTTAATCAATTCAAATGAATGCACATGATAAAAAATCAGTAGTGATTCAAGGCTTTCAATGTATCATGCTGACTGTGATGATTGAACTTTGAACTTCTCAACTTACAAAATTAATGTTTATGTAAACTACTGAAATATTATTATTATTATCATATTTTTTAATTTATTAAAAATTTCTTTGATATGATATATCAATTTATCAAAATTAGGGTATATCTTTTCTTTAAGTTGTGAAACATGAATTTAATAGTAGGAGATATATGTAGGCAGCAAGTTATTGATCATATGTGTATTTGAAGAAAAACTCACGTTTTATGAAACAAATAAGTGTGAATATTCACTTGGTGTTGTTTTACTTGTATCTTGTAACACCAAGTGAATTTAAACTTCACCCCATTGTACAAGCAAGTGGTTATTAGGAATCAATAGCTAAATGAATAATGCGATTGGCGTTTGAAACAAACGGTACTGTGTTCGAATCCTGGAGTGAACATCAACTCTGGAATGCAGATACATTCAGCTGTCAAGTTTCAAATAAGACAAAATGCGCAGCCTGGATTCCACTGTTAGCCACTAAGTGGACAGTTTTGAGGTATAGTATGAGGTACTAGGTTAAGATAGTAGATTAGTTAGTGAGATGGTCAATATTCATTGATTAAGATGATTGGGATATTTATTAGAAATGTAAGAGTAGGTTGCATGAAAATGATGACATCAGTTCCTGAAGTGATTGACTATTTGTCTGAGATGTATACTTTAATGTAGACAATTTGGTTAGGGTTAGAAAGATAATCAACATTAATGATTGGAGACATCTAATGATATGGTTAAAAATGATTCACAGTGAAATAAATGCATTGCTTGTTTTATCCTTCACCAATTTTTTATATTGTAATTGTTAAAACATTATTTCAATTCATTTCTTAGTTGTTTTGTTAATTTCATCTCATTATTTCTAATGTTGTGTTATTGTCAATTAGAACCAATGCAAGACATTCTATTAATGATGACTAGTTGAAATGGTATTAGTTTTTTTATTTTTTTATTCTATGGATTGAATTCATCTTCTCTTTTTTTCTTCTTCACATTACAACATGATCACAATTAATTTGATGACTACGCGTAGCGTAGTTTTCTAATAAAGAAAAAAAGTATATGTCAGCGGTTATTGTTTATTATCATTGATGTTGTAAATTAAAAGAATGTTGTTTTTCTAGTTATTTTATTTAAATTCAAAACTCTTGGTAATTTATACTTAAACTGAAAATTAATTATGTTATATATAATGCTTCATTGTATTAAAGAATGTTATCATAGAATGCCAGTTAGTTATTCACTTCGCCCATAGATGAAGTATAAAGGGCGTATACAGTGTCTGTTAAATGGATCTGTAAAATAAACTTTAGTTGCCAAGAGAGAGAGAGAGAAAAACTACCAATCAATATTTTCGTACAATATTTGATAAGTATGAAATTAATATTAAGTTTAAGTATAGTACTGAGAAAAAGTAATAATGAAATGAAGATTCGAACATAAAGCTCGTTGAAAAAGTTGTATGTTGTGAAATTCTCTAAATAAGTTGGAGTTGTAAATTAATTTTCTTTGTAAACTATTATCAACTAAGAAATTGTTGAGAGTATCGTTTATACAGTTACGAAATAAGTTTTATACATGGACACTAAATTAAAAGAGAATAAGGAATCAGAATTATTGAAGGATAGACTGTTCAAACCTTTGTGAAATACAACTTATATAGCTGAGCTAAGAATTGTTTTCTCCATTCGGAATCTCATTTAGGGAAGTGTCGAAGATAAACTGCCTCTTTGAGTCATCTCCGTGTACAATTATTAATTTTATTACTATTGTGAAGTAAGTTATATTGTGGTTAAGAGCCGTGAACTTGTTAAATAAATATCTTAATATTATTGTACATGACTATCTAAAGACGAATGAAAATCAATTAACAGTTCAATCCTCATATATTCGGTCAACTTCAGTCATCATGTGCCACAGAAAAAACTATCTCTCAATGTTACCTACAAGGTCAAATGAACTGATTCTAAGACGGTTCGTATCAGAAACTTATACATAACTGAAGCTGTAACATTTCACTAGTTTAAATCTAACCTCTATATACAAAATAGACACATTCAACCCATTATTTTTCTATAGTCTTAACAGTTTTAGTTTCTTACAAATTGTAAGTGTTAATAAATAATGTAATTTTTCTCATTCTTCTTCGTAAATACAGACAGTTAGTTATGTTTTATAAATTGTTATTTCTTATTAACTTTATAACTATTAGATCAACTAAATGAAATAATATCCTACTATTCATAGACTGTTATATTCAATACTTGAATTCTTTTGATTAAACTATACAATATCAAACAATTTTGTACTAAATAGATGAAAAATAACATTTGATCATACATGATAAATTTGTTTAATAAAATAACACTATTCTATATTACCATAGATTGTCTCATGTAAAATTACTTATTTATGAAATTCTTATAACTAAAAAGAATAACATTGTTGTGAAATGAAAATCTCTTCACTGAAAGGTTTTCTCTCTTTTACATGATTCAATCGATTTGTTACCTTATTAACACATTTAATTATTAGTGTACATCATAAATATATTGATATGGAACTATAATAAGTAACTAATCGAATAGTAATATTTTTTTAAACTGTATTTCTTATCATATTTGAACATGAGTTATCACTTTGATTTCTTTCAATATTGATTATCAAAAATGACCGAATAAGTAATGAATATGTCTAATACTATTGTATTGTTAATAATCATTCAGAGACTGATATCACGTATACTTCCAGTCTCCTCATAAATTGTATGTTTATAATATGGTTGATTGATTTTTAGCTATTTGATCAGTAGTGATTTCATATATTTGGATGTAAAGCTTATTTATAAATAATGAAAGACTATTTTGAGGAGTCAGTAAAAAAAAGGAAATTTGTTCCTTGTTTACTTTATGTACTAAATAAAATAAATAATACTCTCAATCCTGTAGGTTTATATGTTTATATCATGAGCCAGTTGAAGCTAGACCACCATTGGAAACCTGGAAGCACTGGACGGCCGTTTCGTCCTAGTATGGGACTCCTCAGCAGTGCGCATCCACGATCCCGCACCACGCGGGGCTCGAACCCAGGAACTCCTGGCTTCTCGAGCGAGCACTTAACCATTAGACCACTGAGCCGGCATCCAACGGTGTTAATGTCCAACTTCAATCAATCCACGAAGTTGCACCACCGTACACCATTGTTTTCAGTGAGCTGATATCTCACAACAGACCCAGTTGAACTCCACTAGTAACGACTTCTCACTAGAACTCCAGGAGTATCTCTTGAAGTCAGTCACTAGTGAGCAGATGATTATTATCAGAAGGAGTTTGTGAAGATTTTTAGAAATTTTCACAGATTGAAATCATGAGTCAGTTGAAGCTAGACCACCATTGAAAACCTGGAAGCACTGGACGGCCGTTTCGTCCTAGTGGTCTAATGGTTAAGTGCCCGCGCGCGAAGCCAGTAGGTCCTGGGTTCGAGCCCCGCGTGGTGCGGGATCGTGGATGCGCACTGCTGAGGAGTCCCATACTAGGACGAAACGGCCGTCCAGTGCTTCCAGGTTTCCAATGGTGGTCTAGCTTCAACTGACTCATGATTTCAATCTGTGAAAATTTCTAAAAATCTCCACAAACCCCTTCTGATATGTTTATATCTTCAGTATTATAGCAAATCTGACAACGCTTATCATATTCAGAACTTGTATGTCAAAATTATAAAGGATTAATTTTAGTGGAGGATCATGTATCTAGCAGTTATTTTGAACGATTCAAGTAACTATTTCGGATAGATTGCACGTTTCATTGATCTTTAAATAAACCCTTACTGATGAGCACTATGAAGAACTGATCCCAAATCCTTATATATATATATATATATATATATATATATATATATATATATATATATATATATATATGCATATGCACATGGAATAGTGAAGATGATTTGCAGCTCAAGTGAATAGTTTTGTGTGCTCTGAGCTGAATGAATAAATCGCTGATTCTTCATTGTAGGTCTGGACAATAGTGTCATTAACTTTATATAGAAATGAGCTTTACAATTATTCCACAAATGTTACATCACTTTTTTTCTGATGGCTTTTTGTGAGTGGTAGCCTTGGTAGATTTGATCGTCATCATTTATCCACAGATTCATGTTCAGTATCTTTTTCGGATGCCTTCTGACTATTATCAACTGACCTCTTCTGTATAGGTTGTAGATTGGATCTATGTCAGTGTGTATACTGATTGCTAATTGACCTAAATACCATACTTCTAGAGGTTCTCTGGTACTTATACAGCTTATTGAATCCATAATTTCGATGCTTCCCCAATCGAATTCACATCCATGATGATTCGAGTGCAATGATATCAGTGATAGTATATAATTTCACTTCACTTCTAATCTATGTTGATGAATGAGTAGGTCGGATGTTCATTTTATCCAATATAATAATTCTCGTAATTGGTGCAATTTATTCTATAAATAGTATCGGATTTGTCTTCTCTTTTGATATATCTTACATTTTGCTTAGAATGAAATGACTGTATTAATTCTTGAGTGACAGTGACCCTAAAGGATTTTAGATTCCTTCCAATGGTTTCTGATATATATATTTTTTGGTGCATGCATATGTATTATTTCTCATTGAAACTTATGCAACATATATTGAACAATAGTATTATCGAACAAGTTGAGGTCAAATACATGAACAGTAATTTAAAAAAACTAGTCGAATTATTCTATTTTTGTACAATATGTCCAAGACACGTTTTGTTTTTCGGAATAATAGACAGAATAGAAGAAAAAATCCAGTTTACATAATTATTATAACAGTAATGATGTTAATTTAATTGAAACTACTGATCATCGTAAGATTTCATGATATTTACAATTTATTAAAGATTAAATGTTGTTTTTAGATAGGTTTATATAAATAGGTTTTGATCAAGGATAACCAAATATTACTTTGTAATTATCTTTATCACGTAATAGTAAGGATCATAATACTATCATGTAATAATAATGATAGGTAAGGTATTAAGCTAAATGACGAATACATCAGAAAGAAAACTACAACGGATGATCTGTCAGAAAAAAACCCTGCTTACTGAATTATCTTTCTGTTAATGGATGTTTTTTTGTTTACTTAACAGATGTAAGTACAAAAAACGAACCTAACAGGTTTTAACATTATTTTGTTGGAATAACTGAGACATTTATCTCATTCGGTGAATTAAGGAATTATGAATATCTCATAAATTACTAAGTAAAACTCATATTTACTTGAGTATCATACAAGGAACAGTATTGTTTCCACCCGTTCAATCACTTGAAAACATAACACGATTTCTTGTATTGTATGAATAATCACTGAATAAATATTAATTATCTAATGATTGTGTTAACAAAAGTACTGGAAAACTTAATAAATACATTCATTCGAATCTTCGTGAAAGACCCAAATCCATAAAGCGCCACCATAGATTTTCAAACAATCCTGAAAAATGTATATCCAAAAGTTCATTAGTATCCTTACAGGCTTTACATCTGAGGGCACGAAATTCTACCTTGCGAACCATACAACCAACCATGTCATCAGATTTACAATTTCAAAAATTCAGTTAATCAGAGTAAAAAGCTAACTTTAGTTTCTATACTGAAAAACATTTTCTTTGATTGATACAATCGATATCATGAAACAACCCCAATGGTTCGATATCTGATAATATGAGAACGTAGAAACACAACCCAAACTGTTTAGAAGTGCTTGAAGACTATTAATAACAAGCTCTAAAGGAATATTTTTGGTGAACCGAAAAATGAGTCCTACTAAGAAGCTTTCTAAAGTTGTCGATGAGATAAACAATGATAAATTGGTCGAAAAACAACTTATTGAGGTTTTCAAGAGAATGAAAAGATCATCTGATTGGCGAACGAAATGCACTAGTTAGTACCATAATATCATAACAGCAGTGGACCTACAAGAAGCTCAGTAACAGAACGCGAATCATTCTACCAAACTAGACTGACAGTCATTTGCAAAGTAACTAGTAGTCTGTCAAAGGTAGTGTGACTTCATCATCTTTGCATGGTTTATCCAAAGTGCAAAACTGTGAGCTAATTTTTGGCCCACTTATATACATGCCTGGATCTCCTTACCACTCTATGGGGAAATAGCTGATTCTGTACAGTTCGCAATAAGGCATATATTCATGTATTCGCTGCATGACACCTTCCAGTTCGTTAGTACTAAACATGAAGAGAATGTATATAATAAATTTGCGGCTTCATATGACCTTGAGTAGCTCCTCACTACTTATCGAGACCATCAGTTTTATTCGCAAATACATAAATGATAAGAATGATAATATAAATAGTCTATTTAAAGGGCTTACTATTGAGATGCACTCGATTGATAATCAGTGACATTATTTACAGACAGAAGGATGAAATAGCTATGTGATACTCCTTTATAATATAACAATCCCTATCCAAGTCTATATTTGCAGATTATTTTATTGTTAGTTAAAAGGTATCTTATCAAAGATTTTCATTTGTATAACACGTATGTAGACGGTTCTTTTATTGTTTATGATAATAAGAGTGAGTTGAGTTATATTATGATAAAAAAATTGTATTGTTTGAATTTTACAATAACAAGGAAATCCGATGACATCAAAAGGAAAATTAGTTTACAGGAACGCTTTAATGTATGACTAGCTTTCATAATTGCGTTCATATAGGAATAGAAGTTTATATCACTCGTCACATAAATCCAAAGAAATTCCGGTACCAATATTAACTTTTTTGTTGAGAAAACTACATATCGAAAATAGGTATCCCAAAAATGTGTCGATATCAAATATAAAACTCAAACATCCAATTAAATAATTAATCTGTGTCAAAAGTATACACTGCATAAAATTCAAAGGTGATAAGCCTTATATTTTGAAGAGAAGAATTTTAAAACTTACGAAAAAAAGCTTCTTTACGTTAACTTTGAAGTTAGAGTTCCATGTAATCTACTCATATTTACCAATAACCTAAAGGATAATCTCACCAATATGACCGATTCAGTGTGCGTTTATCAAATCTTTTGTTTTTATGGAGCTAGGAATATGAAGTGATATTAATATTAACTGATTTCATGTTCTGGGGTTCTTAATGGTAATCGATTTCTATAAATCAAGTTATAATATGGTCATCAGTCGAAGTGATTCGGTATTGCATTGCACTGCACTTTGTTTGATGTTAAGTAGTCAACAGAAAATCCTATATGAAGAAGTAGTGTAAGCATCTCAATTATACAAGACGAAAGTCATCAAACAAGTAGTTCCTTTTTGAATCCTACAAGGATTATCAATACTTAAAAGATTTTAGATAAACCTTTTGGACACATGCGCCAATCTATCATGAAATTTAGGTTCTTGTTGATCACCTTAAACAATTTGATATCAGTCAAGAATACAAAATGAATCAACTGAATTATTTCAACCTGAATAATCAAAATAGAATGTTATTAAGAACAAAAGAAAGTTATTTCATACACATAGTTCCCTTTATTATTTTAAAGAGAGCAAGAACAAAGATTGGTGCAGAACAATATGAATTCATTTTATTTCGTTAGGTTCTCATCAGCTGCTTACAACCTAAAATATTTGAAATTAAACGTTATTATAGATATTGACATACTTATATATCAGAGGGTGATGAAGGATGTATACATGTAACATGATGTAGCAAAGATTTCATTAGAGTTAATGAGGTCATAAAATTTTTTGTTTCGAATATATAGAGTTTGAGAGGGAAGGTTCCAGAACATTGAAGGGTCTGAGATCAAACGGACTAAAAGCATTCAGCAGCGCTATCGCAAGACATCTCCTTGACACAGGACACGAAGTCGATACATTGAAGTCCTTCAAAGTGATCAACAAACAATCAAATTCAAACCTTTTGAAATTTGACGAAGCGATAGCAATCAAACGTTTTAAACCAGATCTTTGTATACAAAAAGAAACAGTAGTAAATCTTTCTTTGCCCTGGTAACATTAACCCCCTCCTTTTATTTAATATGTCATTCCAACTCTTTCTGAATTTTATAATTACATCATTCATAACTGACCAATTTCAATTCATATCTCTCTTTATTAACATTAATCTATTTTCAGTCACTTCATTACATAATCGTCTAATGTGTTTTAATTCCATGATTTCTAATCACCATTTCAATTTTCTGGAACCTTCCCTCCCAAACTCTATATATTTGAAACAAAAAATTTTATGACCTCATTAACTCTAACGAAATCTTTGCTACATCATGTTACATGTATTCATCCTTCATCACCCTCTGATATATAAGTATGTCAATATCTATAATAACGTTTAATTTCAAATATTTTAGGTTGTAAGCAGCTGATGAGAACCTAACGAAATAAAATGAATTCATAGTGTTCTGCACCAATCTTTGTTCTTGCTCTCTTTAAAAGAAAATTAGTCCTTGTGAAAAAGTGAATAATGAACCAAGTAGAAAAAACAGTATCCTTTTCAGTCTCCAGAAAGAAATCTGAAATATTTTCAAAGTGTAATAATGTATAATTCATAGATATTTGTATCCACTTATACTTTAACGATGAGTTATTTAAAGATTATTATTATTATCCAAATGAAATTTTCACTATTGATAAAAGTATTCATAGATATTGTCGATGAAATCATATGGATTATAAGCACTAGAATACCCATTTAGCTTTCTTTTTTTATTATTAAAAGAGACACATTTCTATCATTTCAAAAGAGTGTATGACTTCTTGAAAAGTTAATAGAACATTCTCATTATTAGTAAATAAAAAGCTGATAAGAATTGGTATAGATTGCATATAAATGGAACGAAAACTTACAGAATGCCTTGGTAAAATATGAAAATCATACATTGTTTGCGCATCTTTCTTCAATTGTCTTTTGCATATGCTTCATGATTCCTTCAAATTCTGTTACTATTACAATTTTTTCTCTGTTCTTTTCATTTCAATCATTCATTGTCAGGTATTCAGTAGTGTGTGCTACTTATATTGATATAAGTAGTATATGACGCGAGTTAAAAACGTAATGTCGGGCAGCAGAAGATGGGGGAATATCAAGAAAGGAAGAGCGGAAACACAATGCAATTCGTAAGAAAACGCATGAACAATGAAATCTGAGACAATGGATTGATGTTTGAAGCAGGAACAGTCCAGGTTGATATGATGGATTGATATTTTGCAAATTAACGATTTACTATATGGTTTTTCTAGTTTACTAAGTAACTCTGTAATTGTGTGCTAAGTACGCTCGGTTGTCCCCACCCATGTTCTGTTCAGTGCGATTCTAGTTCCGACTAGTGCTATCTACTACTTATATCTGTCAGCGTAAGTAGCATACATCACAATATTATTAAAGGATTTAATTTAATATCGACTAAATTTTATGTATATTTGAAATTTTATAAAACAATTAACATAGTTTCCTTTTAAAGTTTATATATTTTTAATTGGATAAAGATGTAATTCATTAGAATCATTATTCAAAAATAATGAAGTACTTTGTACAATATTCTTAAAGATCATCTTAAACATTAACAATTTGTTTTTTAAACATTTTGATAAGTTGCTCTCCTAAACTTTCATTCTAAAAAGAAAACAAAATTTGTTTAGTCAAAAATTGAATAGTAAAATTTCTATTTTTCTTTTGAAAATAAATCTATACAGTAGGAAAAGATTAAGTTCAAGATAATGGTTGGAGGTAGTAGTCAACATAGAACCCTGGATCTGGATTTGTGCTATTTGGCTCTCGTCAGCAAGGTGTACCTGTAATCTTGGGGGAACTGGTGCTCCCTGATGGATTCGACCCCGTGTCGATAGCATTCGATCTGCACGAAGAAGGACTTGACACACATGACATTGATCATCATCCAGTGATTAATCGATTGTGATTGAGTTCAATGTTTCACCCATTATGAAAAGGTATGTATGAATGAATTAAGATAATAATATAACTGAAATTTTGTATATAATGATTTTACTTAACTTCAGTCATTTGTAAGAAACATAGAATTTGACACACATATATACATCAGTCTAATTTGTTCCATTATTTCAGTACAATGAGAACAAATTATCAAAATAAGTAGAAGTGGCATATATATAAGCAAGTAAAGAGAATATATTTGGAAAAGAATGAATGAATTCGTTGAATAAGAGATATAAAATAATTTTAAAAATAAAATTCCTAATGAAAGACAAAAAGTGAAACCATCTACACAATTGTATCTGATTTTGATCCATTGGATCTAACGTGTTCAACCGTTGTTACGATAATTGTACAGAGCCTAACTAGCTACTAACACGGCTCAGTGCCACAGTTAATGACATAATGGACTAATAATGACATGCCTTGGTTTGGTTCTCGTTAGCTTTCTTCCAACCTACTCCGACACCAGCCGACATTGTGCGTCAAGGTACGTGGAGATCTGGGATACATAAAACATACCCCAACCACTACATTTGATGAAAATTCGCAGTTTTTTGGATAGTACCCTGAGTCTAACTTAAACATAGCTTAGCTTGGTAGTCTCAACATACGGCGATAATACCTCGAAGGGGCCTGTGACCAGATAATGATAATAATAATTATTATTATTATAGCCCGTGGATTTCTTCTCCAAGTTCTCGTAAGTAATTATTTTCACATCACCAAGTCGATATCAAGAACACTGACAAATTTGGTGAAATTACAAAGATTGGATTCACCAATAAGGAATCATCACTTTAATAAATAGACAGTAAATAATGTAATACTTAATCATTTGTCACAGATGAGGGTTTAATTAATTGGTAGGTAAAGGGTGTGATTTTCGATAATTCATTTGTTTCATATTAAAAAGTTTTTAAGTGCTACAAGACACTTGCTTATTACTATCTATTTTTCAATGGTTCTGATGTCAATCGATGATTGAGGTAGCAATCATCAAACTGAACAAACATATACAAATCAATATTGGTTGTTACAAAAAAAGGTATCTTCACTATCTATTGAAAAATAGGCTAGAAACACGTTACCACAATAGCTTACGTACACTTTCCTGCCATGTTTGGACAATGGAGTTTAATATTTTAGTGAACATATTAATAAAGTTAAATGACTAAAAAATTTACCTGTAAATTATAGGTTACATGACATACGAATTCCTTTGATTGCAGGTTAGCTGTACGACGTAGAGCTGTTGATCTTTCACGAGTTTCATCATCGAATTCATCCAACATAGGGTCACAAACTGACACAACCACTGAATCGTTGAATAGAATTTGGTTACGCACTAATTTTGGTGGATCGATGGGTAATCTATAGATGGGAACATATATAATGTGAAGATTATTTTCACTGTTTATTAGTATTATTCAGAAAACAATGATAAAATGAAGAGTTGAGTATGCTTACGTAGAGTCTGTTTGATTATAACCGCATAGTTTTAAAAAAATATCCTCATAATTAGGCGATTAAAATAAAAAAAAGTAGCAAATGTTTATCGTACGCAAAACATATTTGCAGGTGAGGGTCCCTAAGTCCAATTGGTATAATTTTTAAGAACATAACAATGAAATTATGGAATCTGGGTGATCTGCTAAAAACAACCCCAGTTTGGAATTTTTGAACTTGAAGATAAATTTACACTACAATATTCAGAAACATTAAAACTTTAAAAGTAAATACATGATTACGAATTATTTAATTTTAAAGTTACTGATGTTGTTGGCTAATTTTTTATTTGCCGACTGAATGAATGTCATCACCAAGGTTCTAACTATGTTTTCAGATGGTGGCTAGCTGTGGAATTCAGGATCCTTAGTGTGCCTTGTATCGGTTTACGTATAACACAGTACCGATATTTTCTCTGAAGTGATAATCCAGAAGTAATTTCTTCAAACACTAGAGCAATATTTATTAGAGTAATGGGTCATGATCGCCAAAAGTTGTTCGACTTTTAAATGTAGCTAGAAGTGAAGAATATTATCCAAGAGCACAAACGCCGAAAAGATAGATCAGTTTAGTTTTTGGATGTTGACAACTCGAACATACTAACCCTTACGATTAATTATATCAAGTGTTTTTTAAGCTATAGCTTACATATTAGCTCAATGTGTTTAAAAAAGACTTGCATTTTGTTGGGGTATCTGTCTAATGGGACTACTTTGATCATAAGACCTACAACACAGAGGATTAGACGTACATAGTAAGCTCCATTATAATATGTTAAATAAGGTAGAAAGTATGGGGTAATTTGTACGTCTAATCTGATTCCAAAAGTTAATTTGGCGTGATTACCACTTTAGTTAGATACTGGCTCAATTATTCTACATAACACCGCATATATAACCAACTAATTAGAACATAATAGCTATGGTGATTACTAATGTGTTAAAATGGAAATTACAAGATGAAACGTATGAGAAGATATTTTAAGTAATCTAAACAGTATACCAAACCAATAAATAAGGTGAAAACATAGTGAATGAATCACAAACTATTAAATATGTACATGAACGATCCGAACTATTTGATAGTGAAGTAGATAAACAAACATAAATAATAGACGTGTACGCGTTATATATAAAAAAAAGATCATGCTTAAAAGCTCATAGTTAGTCGTACAACAATAAGTGTAAACAAAAATGATTAATGTGATTAGAATGACGCATTTATTTTTGAACAAGGACAAACCTGGGTGGACGTGAAGCTGATACAAATACAATAAGTCTTTAGCATTATTCTGATCTTTCCAGTGAACGAAAACAAGTACGTTAATAGAAATAAAGGCTAATTGATGATCATCAACCTATTCCTAATGAAAATTAGACGGTCACCTCCAATACACGCAAAATTCATATCACTTGCGATCATAACAAGGTACTATCGAGCTCAGTGGACAATGCGTTGGGGGTTTAAAGTGAAAAGTATCGAGATTAAGTTCTTGTGTGAACATTCGTATTAGAATGAAGGTATATCCGAACGATGAGCCCTAAAAAGAATGAAACACGTGTTCCCTGCTAATCACTAACAAAATTTACTAATCAATTTGATCAAAATGGAATGAAATTTTTTTTGGATAAAAACTATATTACAAAGAATAACACTAAAATATGTCATCAACTTTAGCGGAATTAATAATATGGACAAATAGTTGAATAGATCTTTATGAAAGGTAAGAAACTTCACTTCTACCTGCTTACTTTTAATGAAAGCAATAAATTTTGATATGAATACAGATATTTGAGTCGTTGAAAAAAAAATGAGCACAAAAATTTATCAAACTGATTTTCACCTGACAATTTAATTTTTGAACATGTTTAATCAGTAAAACAAAACAGAATAAAACAACAAATAAACATGAGTAATTTGATGAGGTGATAAATGAAGTTTATACTTCGGCATAAACAATACATTCATCGGAAAAAAAAACATCGATGAATTTATTTTATTGAAAAAACGAACTGTTCAGTTAGGAAAAGGTGATAACATATATAAATATTGACATTTAATAATTGTATTTATTACCATTGAAAAAAGCAAACATTAATTTATTCAGTTAGAAACATAATTTATGAACTATATGGAAATATAATGAAATAATTGAATTTATCAATGAGTAAATAGAACTAAATAATTTACATTAGTCTGATTATAAAATGGGTGAGTATACTGTAAAAAGAAACAGTTCTTTCTGATTTGTTTCACAACTTTGGAATGATATCTTTAAAACTAGAGAAAATGCCTAGGTTGTTAGTATTAGATCAAAGATATTTTTGAAGCATTGCTTCGCACATGGTTGAATAGCAGAGTTAAGCGTAAGGTATAAGAAAAGTATAGTAGATTGGTTAATGAAGTTACGTGCCCCCAAATACCCTGGTACGGCTGAGAGTGGGTAGGGTCCGCCCTCCCTCTCCAAATGCTCACATGGCAACGTGTATACAACCACTGCCAGGGAAGTCCTACTCACTGCCTTCTCGCACCATGGGTGTTGTTTACGGAATTGAGAGGACGAAAACCGAATGTCCGGCGCTTTAACCAGGCCGATGGACACGAAGAGTCCATCTAGGGGAGTTGGAAAACCTCCATTCCAAACCAACGATGCACATGGGCTCCAGTATCCTGAAGCAACAAATAGCGTATAAACCAATTGTTGGTCACCGGCTACCATGGGATCGCATCTCCTCACAATGCTCCACTGCCTTGTGGATCAGACCTTTAGGTCAAAGGCTCGGGGTGTGGGCCTCTAAGAAAATCACGTGCTTCGACCTGGGCACCTGGGCAGTATCACAGCCCGCACACAAATCAATGAAATGACGATATTCACTGAAAATACTATTCACGCTTCGATTGAAAGTCAAACAATTCACATTATTATTATTAGCACTTACCGCGTCACTTTTGTGTGGCGCATATATATTTGGTGACCCTTTGTACCAATATTTATGTGTTCAAGTAAATAAAAAATAAATAATGAGGTTACGACATTTGGAAGACTGAGGTGACAGCGAGATGTGTATTACGTACTCGGAATCATCGCCTATCTTGATAAGTAATATTGGTTGGAGTAGGTTGTAAGACGGTGACGACCAATCCATTATCTGACTAATTGAAATCCTTATAAAAAAGAGTGTACCTATCGTACCTAAAGCTATGAGAAATAATTTTTAAGCAAATTTTTCAATGCGAAATCGTCAACAGTCGACTTTGATTCTTACCTAAGGAACATACAACATGTTTTTGGTTATACAACTACATGGATGTTTAGGAAAATATTCGTTTATTTAATAAAAATGAAGTATCATTTTATTAATAGCGTTCAAACATAACTGGCATTACACACCTAAAATCTATGGTTTTCATACTAACATTAATAGAGCATCGATCTCATTTCTCGTTTGACCATGTTTTTGATTTATGGTTGTAGTGGAGCGAATTTTTAGATATGTTGGAACCTTTTGAAATATTACCATTTTGGCTATTTGGATCATTAAGTAACCAGTTTATGGCAGTTTTCTATACAGTCCTATTTATGAGCTCCCGTTTATTGTATAAAATGTCCACATAAGCTTCACTACTTCCAAACTATTGTTTGCTTATCTATTCACCTGTTTCGTTCTCTTTTGGCTAGATTGTGGATGTGAAAGACCTGGTAACCCAAGTATATAAATACACGAATGTTTGAAATTTAAGAATAGATGATTGTCAGTTATCTGTGTTCTTACTTCGGAATGACTACTGGACTGGAGGAAGGTGTACGTTCTGGACCAGTAGGCGTTAACACTTACGTCGATCACTACTCCGGACCAACTATTGTCGACCGAAGTGCATCAAACCTGAGGACATTGGTACATAGGCGAAAAGCACACTAGGATTAGTGAGTCATAACACCAATCCGTATTGGTGCAACTGCATCCGTTGTCTCAAGTAAGATGTGCGGGATAAAAAACAGGAAAAAAACAAAGTAAACTATTGATCGTTGCTGTGCAAAGTAGCATCGTGGTAACTAAATACACCTCAAAGTATTCATCTATGAAACACTTTTTGTGCGAAGACTGTAGTTGTATTTAAGATTTGGGTCTGAACTCAGTCGTTGACAGTTTGATTTCTTAACTCATTAGGTTCTCTTTCCACAATGCAATGAATGAAGTTTACTTCTTACAAATGTAAACTCGGACATGGGTAGGGATAAAATAATTACCAACTCTGTAGAGACATGTTTTACTAAATGGATCGATGACACTTTACTTGACTATCAAATGACTGATTAATTCGATTCTTCTGTTGAATAACATCATGTACTAAGTTGGACGTACAGATATCATATGTAACACATCAATCATTTTATCTAGCCAACTGTATTCATAGTGTGCACTCGTAAATATTAAGTCTCACACAATGAAGATTACGATCAATTATTCTGCATTCAGTCCTCTTATTTTTGACATAATTGAAGATTTAATTTTGGAGACGACTTAATAAAATAGGAAAAACTGAAAATTCGTATATTTCCCGCTGCATTAACTTTTTCCTACACCTACAGGTAGAATATAAATGAGAGAATGTTGGGATTAACCACAGGAATTTGTTTTTGAAACTATTAGATTGCAAGTTCTAACCCAGCTCCACCTACTGTAGTTTGGGTAGTCGAGTTGTACTAATATTATTTATGATTAACTCATTTGCCAGGTGTACATATTCGTGTACTCGGTTTCGAGTCACATTTAAAGCGTGAAGGATACTGATATTAACTGGATACCAAAACCCGAGGGGAGTAGGTGGAACCGAGTTCGAACCTTCGACCTAGTTGGTGAAAATTGAACCCTTTGATTTCTCAGCGTCACTGTTCTACACAAAACAAAAATATAGATTAGAGACTATTGTATACACCTAGACCTAATAAATGAGTTACAGTATATTACTTATTTACTACTACAGGATATATTTGTATAGAAATATATGTGTATGTAGAAATATGTACATTTGATATTACTTTAAAAATAATATAGGGCTTTGTTCTTTATACAATTGAAATATTTCAACTACAATAATTAGAAAACAAGGTTTAACCAAGTACTTATATGCAGTGATTTTTCATTAGACTTAATTAAGCAATTACAATCAAAATTATTTATCTGGTATATTTAAAATTGTTATGATTCACAAAACAACTACGGTTCAAGTATATGAATGGCAAGGAAACAGTGGCTATAATAATAATAATAATAATAATAATAATAATAATAATAATAATAATGCCGACATGAGATATCGTGTTTATGTAGTCATTACACCTTTTGAAAAGTCTGTGCCAAAGTGTATGTATGTGGGATGGAATACTAACAGTATACTACAGTCGTTTAACCTTTAGATAACATAATAGATGTATTCTTTATCATTAACCATGCAATTAAGATTAAAATGTGAACCTAGAAACCGCTAATCATAGCGATGACGATGATAATAATAATAGTACCAATGAAGATTGTATTTAAATTAATCCAGTACAGAAAATTATTACTATTTTTGTCAATAGGGTCATCTGAGGAAGTGTTGGTGAACAGACTATTCAGCAATGTAACTTAGTTATCAAGTACAAGTTTATGTACCTGGCTATTTATTATAATATTTTATGTAAGAACTACCGATATTACCCTGGTGTTTAAATCAAAGTAGATGGAGAGGGATTCGAGCCTGAGATTTACTGGTAGCCAGTTGTAGATTTTAACTATTCAGGCGTTGCTCTAATATATACTTAACTATCCTTTTCACTTAATGAATGAAATATTTATCATATACAATAATGATTATAATTTTGAAGTTCATTTAGAAATGTTTAAACGCTCCTTTTTTAACAAATAGGATTTGCTTACGAAGATGTTTGTGATTTTTTCATCAATAAAACAACAAAAACACGTAAAACTTCAGGGGTAATTTTTTCATAAATTATGAGTAGGCCATCAATATACTTGGTATAAATAGAAGAAATCGTTATCAGGGTTTATACAAACAAAAGTTATCTGTTCAACTTATCACATTTTCATGATGGTTAACATTCACTCAGTTATGATATAAAATAGGTTTAGAGTAGGTCAGTTTGTAGTTTGTCAAGTAGTTGAAATCTGAGATCATTAAACCGAAGCTTGCTCAAACTAATCAAGTTTTTTTAGTATAAATCATGACTTCTATATTACAGAAACCAGTCGTTTGATCCAGGTTATATAGGATAAGTTTGAGTATTGATTTTATTTGTATGAATGTTAAAATTACTACAATTGTAAATTTCCAAACTGACGTTTTAATCTCTTTCGTACGTTTTATAAATAGCTCACTTAAATTATCATCAAAATCCTAATATAACAATCCTCTGAGGCTATTCACGTTCATACACATATTTCTTCGAAAATGAATTGGTAACTTAACGGGAATGTTGATGAAATCTTCGCATAGTTACATGAAATAGTAATGAAAATAACGCTAATATCAGTTAGTGACTATGTAAATGTCATGATGAAATAGGTATATAGTGATCGGCTTGTAGAGTTTGTGGGAACCGACAAGATATTAGTTACGTAATAAGTGTGTACTACGATAGTGACTGATTACATATTTTTCAAAATCAAAAAGAGATAATTGGATGAGAAACCATAGGTTGTTCACAAGTTTAGAATTTCACTCGTAAACAGTTGACTGGATAATACGTAGCTTCTACTGTACCAAATTCAGTAGTTAGTTCAAATCATAGATTAATAATAAAACATCACAATTTATGAATATTTCAAACAATAATTGTTTTAAAAGGCAAACAATTTATTAGTAGCTTAAAAATCTCAGTTTATTCAATACTTTCTAATTAGGTTGATTTCCAAATCTATTTCATTGGTCAGTATGAACAGTTCTGCTTTATGCTTGCAAAAACTGTTTTCGCCCCTCTGAGGATGATCATATCGACTGTGTATTCGATCATGGAGAATAGTTCACATTTGATAGGAATACTAAGTACGTAATGCGCTGACGTGTGTTTTTACATTACAGAGATAACTACAATGTCAACTGCTATTTTGTGTTGTGAGAAAATAATCTTAGTTGACAGTTTAGTCCATAGTCAGTCAAATAACTGAACTCATAAGTCTGATCACCTATCCAATATGTACAATTCTCCTACAATTACTATCTTTTATAAATCTACGTCTAAATTGTAAAACCCGATTCCAATCAATGACTTTTAACACATAAAATGTGTACGTCCTTATGTTTTCTAAATAATTTATATTATTGTTTCTAGGTTGTAAGCACTCGAATAGGATTCACGAAATAAGTCAATTGATATTATTCTGTTACGATTATTGGTCCTTCTTCATTCGAAATGTATATAAGTTAGTAAAACAGAGAATTAGAACGACCACCTTCCGCACAAAACATATGAGATTAAATTTATTGTATCCAATGAATAAATCTATATCTCTAAAAAAATCTTGATTTTTGACCAAGTTGAAAGAGTTAGTCATACAAAACGTGTAACCCGACATAAATTTCCATCAGTTTAAGTTGTCACACAACATAGCGCAATGAGACGCTAGAGTAGTGTAATTAGTAACAGTATTACTGGTAGTAGAAAACACTAGTCATAGAATGTATGATTCCAGAAAATATAGATTCGTGAGGTGAGACAATTGGGAAACTTAGGATCTAAGGGAAGACAAATAGTGAATGAATCTGTGCCATAGCGACCAATTCTGAGCCACGTCACTCATAGTCTTTAATTATTCATTATTATAGTCACCCGGACCCCAAACACGTAGTATGCACCTACCTATACGCTTCAGTCCAACAACTAATGAATTTATAGACTGAAAGCGCGACGTTCAAATGATGCAATATTGATCTTCCCTAACAGAAGTCGAAATTATAAAACAATCTCATTACACATGGTTAATACACCGTTCTGTTTGGAGCACTTTAGACTTCTTTTTATACAATCACATTCATAGACGATACAGGGAGTATAGGTCTAATCTAATAGATTGTATTTTGTGGCCTTTATTTTTACCATTGATAATTTTCATAATAAACTTACAAGAGCGAGGAAGTTGTTGACAAGTCCAAGACCAATCAAATAACTATCTCCTTCTAATCGAGGACTACGTAAACAAAGTAAATTAACAGATTCAGGACTTTCAGCGTTCAAAGAGAGTAAGAAACTATTACACTATTGACTTGAAATTCATTGGTTTACACTTTTAACTTTAATCAAATTGTGATGCAGTTCAATTTTTATCCAATGTCATTCGTGAATAATTGTTTCACTCTAGACTAAGTTAACTTCAACATTTATGGAATACCAGTAGAATTTCGAAGATAACCATACTGAAGCTAGTTACAAATGAATATGGAATAATTATTAAGTTGAATGTGCTTTTGAAAACGCTTGAGTTAATTAGATAATTTTGATTGCAAGCTTAATTATTTGTTACCCACAACGTAACTGATATCATCTTGTTTCAATTGTTTGGTACAGTACTATGTAATGTACCGCAAACGATGAAATAATATTATGAAGTAAAAAAGAGAGAAACTATACAGTAAAAATACAAATCATAAATATTAAATGATGTAGTCTAGTTAAGATTATAACCTAAATGAGGAGTGAAGTGAAAAACTAAGACATGGTCGTAACTATTGCTTGATGTAAGAATTGAAAGTCCTGAAATTTGAACCCATGTCATGTGGTGAGGAAGCACCATTGAGTCCCAAACTAGAAAGAAACAAGATTCCGATGCTTCACACTCTCCACTGATTCCCTAACCGGTAACAACCAGTGGCGAAAACTACATCTAAATCACTTTGTTAACGTAATGCAACTTAATTCTCATAGTGTTTAATATATACACAGGAAAACGGTGTTCTTAACTGATTACTACTTATACCCAATGCAGTAGTATATTGCAAAACTGCAAATACCATTGATTTTCAGTCTTATATCGAAGTGAGCATGATACGACATTCCTAAAAGACGACAAAGGAAATTGCTTACTTTGAACATAGTTTGATAAATTTATCTAAAATCGTGGTGAGATTCGAAGAGGAAGAAAATGCATACGTCGAAGTAAATCGCATTACATGCTCTTTCAAACTTAAAGAAGCCAAAACTGAGGCACGATCAAGTAGTTTAGGGGTTTCCTGAAAAAAAGATGAAATAAAATAGCAATAAAGAAAAAATCCACCCGTTAGATTTCTAAAACGATATGTGGCAGCAGCTGAATGTTATTCGCAATCTGGTGGTTTTTATGGAGAAAGAAATGAAGATTTATTCAAGACGGAAGCGGCTGAACCAGACACTGGCTCAAAAGTTCATGGTTACCTCATGAAGCTGAGGTCAAATGAAGATAAAGTGTGCCAATTTCATCTCTCCGAAAAAACTTAAATACGACCAATTCGCACAAAGCACTGTGTTTTTGGAAAATTGTATAATGAGCAGTCATCGAATTTCAATATTCGTTATAGTTATCTAAAGATAACCAACAAATTTGATAATATCTATCTTGATTATTCGGACAGAGTGAATGTCACATACAAAAACGCAAACTTTGTTTCAATAATTCAAAGTTAGTCCAATTGCGATATACCTGTATGTAGAACGCAGCTTTGGAAACAAACTGAGCCTACATGAATCACATAGATTGTTACTGACAAGTGAAAATGTAAAATGTGGTTATTCATATTGCGAATGGAACGACGACATCGTGTTTTTGTATGACGGGTGGAAAAATAAACATGTATAATATTAACCATACAAGTCAAGATCATACAAAAGGACCCTTCAATCTTTACTTATACCCACATGCACCGATACTCCCATATAATGAAGGTATGAGTAGTATTGATACAGTTCAGATCAATAACGTAACATTATTTGTAACGTGGGTACATAAAGACCCAATATTATTTCATGAAGGAGGTTGAATCATATATGCATTGAACGAAGGAGAAGAGCGTAGAAGTTGGAGGGTTAAATAGAACTTTTAAAATGAAGTTGAAAAAACCAACTGGAAGCTGGAACACGACCAAGTAACCGGCTGAGATCCCAGCGAGTACGAAATAGAACTACTGCCTATCGAATAGACTTTGTACGGGAAACGTATTCGATTAAAAAAACAAGGGGAGGTGATATGACGAGTTAAAAAAACGAAATTGCATTTTTTTTACTCATTGTGATTTTTGTCCAACATTACTTCCATCTTTTTTAATTCAATATTATGGTGATTCAAAGTACTAGTTGTTTAGTGTTCCAGTGTGATATTTTATTCGTTATAACATTGATTTATTTGATTGTGATGTTTTTTCAAGATACAATATTCTTGTAATGAATTAACATGAACAATTCTCAACATGACACACAGCATGTGATTTGTTATAAATCTGGGTACTTTTCATATATGTGATTTCATCCTAATTAATAATCAAATTAGTTTACAATCAATACATAAACGAGTTTGTTTTCGATTAGGGTCGTCGTTTTTTGAGTTAAATAAATATTTACTCGTACCAGTCTTGATGTTGTTACTTCGCATCGTATAAGTAATAAACTAATCCAACATAACAACTGACAAGTCATAACAATAATTCAATAAAATGATATCATCAGGTGGAATATGGTTTGTTTAATCAGGCGTAGCCATAATTAAATACAGAGCATACCTTGAATATACTTGAGGACGACAAAAATTACTACGAAGGCTGTTAAGTCTTAACGAAAAGACCTAGTTGCCTGCACAAATGAGAATTAGTGTAATTTTTGTCAATTTTATTTGCCTACTTATTAGTAGTTGAAAAATAATGAATTTAAAAAGATAAGTACTACCCTAGGGAAGTATTAAACTTCCCTAGACTTTATATGTTAGTAGTTTTAAGATACACTGAACTTACATCAGGCTCAATTTGAATTCCGCCCTGAATAGATCGAGGACGTTTAATCAGTGGCTCATTTGGATCATCCGAATCTAAAAAATTAAGGATCCTAATATTATTCTCAGTCATGGAAAATAATATTTTAATGCAACAGTTTGCGTGATGATAACGGATACTAGAAATACGAATACAGCTTGGATTTATTGTTTTAGGGTGAACGAACCTAAAGGCTGATTGTAATATCAATCTTATATGGATCTAATGGAAACAATAAAAGAAGTGAGAATTGCTACGGTAATTCGCTGTAGATTGTTTTATTTAAAGCTTGACACTTTATAAGTCATAAAATTTTAGTTATATTTTTAGAGAAGAGGCAGTTCAACTGTTTAGGTGAAGTCTGTTAAGCGAACCAATTCTTTCTAAAATATGTATGCACACGGATAATTTTCGTAAATTAATCATCTCTATTAAAATCTACAAAACATTTAGCTGTATAACATTAAGTAAACTGGATCTAGAGATATTAGGTAAAAGATGAACTATTGTACATAGAATACATTATTTCACTTACATAAATATGCACTTAGTTACTACTTGGCAGATAGGCAAAGAGAGATAACTAGTTAGTAAACTTCTCATGTCTTAGTGGTTATCTTAAATGATGTAAAATTTTACTACAAAAATACATACAATACGATTGATTAAGAAATTCTCTTGAAGCTTCTACAATGAATTGTTGTTCCGTTTCTACATGTACAATCTCTCCATTAGCAGGTTTCGAACAGGGTAATCCAAACTCTTGTTCAATTTTTGATTTTAAAAAATCCATCTTAATTGCTTCTCCATGTACCAGCATCACATGTTTAGGCTGACAATGAGATATCAACTGCATAATACCACGAGCATCTGCATGAGCTGAGAACGATAAGTATTCAACTGACATTTTAACTTCTAAAACTTGTTTATCGAATTCAAGACGCCTGACTCCATTTAAAATCTGAAAACAATAAAATAAGACAGGTAACGCATTATAACAATAATTTTCTGTGAAGGATCAAAAAATGATGAATAAAATACCATAAACATGATTTTTTCGAGCTAAGATTATTCACTTTTTTTGCACAAGAATATAAAATAATTTCCACTACAGATTACAATTCTAGTTTTTCTCTTGAAACACTGCTTGATCTTGCACTGTTAAACTTGAATGCAAAACAGTAACAGTTCAAATAAGTCATTAGTTCATTTTAAATTCTATCATTTATTGTGATATTAAACTGTCTACTAATGATGGAAAGTCTTTAGGCAAAAAGCAATTTATTTTATTTTCATAATCTTATCCTAAATTTGTTAAGAATAGGAATCATTTTATGGTAATCTTAAACAAAGGTACTATCAAAACATATACACACAAACCTTATAACCCACAGTTCCAGCAACACAATATCCTGGAATTACAACCATATTTCTTTCATCTGAAGCCCATTTACGAAATATATGCAAGGATTGTCCAGCGTGAAGCATACCTGGTGTGGCAAAGACTACCATTGGTCCTGGATTATCGACTGTTCCTTGCCCAAGAGGCTATTTCAAGATATGAAAATATCACAATGACCCAGAACTTGAAATTGCTTCAATGATACTTATGTTTGAAAAGAAATTATAATTAGGATGAAAATGTTAATTTAAAAAATTAGTAAAAAACAGTCTAGCGGTCAGTTGGACTAATGTTACTTATACCAATTTCCTAAACTAAGAAACGAGAGAGCTCAATAGCAAAGTGAGATAGGGAGGGAAAAGTGAATTATCTACTGAAATAAACCAGGGGGATCAAGCCAACTAAAATTAACTGATTCATATAAAAAGTCTTATTATACTAACCGTGACATGTTGGTGTCTGATGGAAATTTATCTTCAAAGGAAATCTGAATTAAATAATTTATTAATAGAGTTCTCTCCCGACAGTCATAGTCTGATGTGTCAAAAATCCCCAGCTATTTAGGTTCTGTCAATCAACAATAAGAAATGTTAAGCTCTAATCAAAATTGTTACTTGTTGAACAAGAGGCAGTTATTATTCAATGGAAAATACTGATATTTAAAGTAGGATCGGTAGGGAATTTAAGTACAGGTATATCCCAAAAATGAGTCTTGAGTAGGATGAAACATAGATTTAGGATTGCACGGTTGGTCACTACCAAATAATACGGAAAGAAGCAAGTGCTATCAGAGATATCAGTGATTATTCTAATAGTAGTCTCCATACTGTGGGAGTGCTGAACCAACAAATATTACGAAGTGAAATTGTCTTAAAACACCAACATACACAGCGACAGTATACCACACTAGCTATTCGAATTACTAATAGATTGGCATTTGTTGATATAATCTTAAAGGTCAAGTAACCCAGTAAAGTAAGATATCACATTTGGCTTTGAGAAATGTAGTGGCTGTGCTATACCTTACCTTACTGTCTTAAAACTTGCGCTTGAAACAGACTAATTGCTGTAAAAGCTGACAAAAAAGAATCGATTTTATTGAGCTCACTTTAATACCACTTGATGAGAATCATATGCCAACGAGTGAACAAAAAGTAAAACAATATTCAACCTTTGCGGGAATATACAAAGTAAACGAGTCCATGTCATTGTTATGTCCACAAAAGTGTATTACCATTAAGTATTAATCCATCTAGAGCTTTAACCATAAAGATTATAACTCAATGCTCGACAGACACCAACAGCTATTACCTTCATCGGCTGGTATTTGATGTGGTTATCAATGACACTTCGAGACTTTCTATTTTAGCAAACAGTATATAGTTAAGGTAGAGTAGATAAGTCGGTAAATCTGTCATACGCAACTTAGAAACTGGTGCGTATGTAAGTAGATTTAGGTTACCACACCAAGATGAAATTATCACAGCGAATCTCAAAACAACATCAAGAGTGGATGAACAAATGTTTTAATCACCTTGGTGGTTTTATTTATTTAAACACATAAACATTGGTACAAGGAGGCACCAAATAGATATGCGCTACATAAATCATTCGATTTGTGCGAGGGTTAGGATACTGCCTGGGTGCCCAAACTGAAGCAGGTAGTTTTCTTAGAGGGTCATACCCCGAGCCTCTGACCTAAAGGTTTGATCCACAAGGCAGTGGAACATCGTGAGGAGATGCGATCCCATGGTAACCGGTGACCAACAATTGGTTCATACTCTATTTGTTGCTTCAGGATACTGGAGCCCATGTGCACCATTGGTTTGGAATGGGGGTTTTCCGACTCCCCTAGATGGACTCTTCGTGTCCATCGGCCTGGTTAAAGCGCCGGACATTCACTTGCTGTCCCCTCAATTTCGTAAACAAGACCTGTGGTGCGAGAAGGCAGTGAGTAGAACTTCCCTGTCAGAGGCTGTATACGCGTGGCCATGTGAGGGCGGACCCTACCCACTTTCGACCGTACTAGGGCATTTGGGGGTAATAATACATGCACAACTAACGTATCTTTCTTGCTCAGACATTAACCTGACACAGTGCTCAATGGGTTGCGCCATAATAGTTAAGTGGTGATTTTTATGAACTCATAAAATAAAAAGCAGAGCAGTGAGTCACGTATGATGACTAGTGATCTATTGACGTTTTGTGAAAGTAACAGGGAAACTGGTTGGTTGGATTCGTCTGAAAGAGATTTCTAGTGGATTTGATGCAATTAAACCCATAAATTCTTTTAAAACGTGCTTAAGTGGGAAGCTACGTAAATTGTACCTACCTTTATATGTTTAAAGTCAAACATATTTCGTTTTACAAATGTCTCCTTGATTTTTTGATTTGTCCACGAGATAAATAACTTGTAATACTCATTAGCCTAAATAAATGGTAATTAGGTGGCTTAATGTTTTTGAAAATACTTTTTCCGCCATTCCCATGGAGAAGTATATTGGTACGGAAATATTCATTCTTTCCCAATATGTTTCAAGCAATATACAAAGTTCTTGAGCTCGACCTAAGGCAAAGACAGGGATTAATACCTATCGATGTCGCAAATAATGAAACAATTACTTTACCCCCAGCCTCAACGCGAGCATGAATCTTTTCCAAAAATTCCCGTTCTCTTGTACGTTTTGAATCTCGTATCGTGGTTGCGTAAGTGCTTTCCGTAATGAGAAGATCTGGACGGCAACGAGAAACCCAAGCTGCACCAAGATGTCTATCAGGTGTCATGTTGTAATCGCCCTAAAGTCCCAGTGATATCTTTAGAAAGCAACCTACGGTATACAGGACAGAATTTGTTCCTACACGTACAAGAAACATTGCTGCTCCCAGAACGTGACCAGCATAAAATGCCTGTATTTCGAGATCATCATCTACCTTTTAAGAGACTCAAAATTAAAAATTAATACAGTTACTTTGACTGTTTGATGTATATACACACACCTAACTTTCGTCATACACCGATATATCATATCAGAAGTGAAAAAGTTTTGATCTCCTCTTCTCTCAACATTGATTTTACGATAATCTTCCTGCAAATATAAGGATACAATATGGAAAGTACCTACCAAAAGTATTGGGCAAATTGCCTTGGTAGGATGAGTCATATAGATTGGACCATCGTAGCCTATTACTTCGGTCATATAGGGAAGAGCTCCACAGTGATCGAGATGGAAATGACTGCCGATAAAAACACGAAAATGCAAACTAACTAAACATACCTAATAATCACACAATCCAGGTAATCATTGAGACTCCCTTTGTCGGTAATGTAAGTGAAGTCAGGAAATTTTCTCTTAAAGGAATCAATGACATGATTACGATGAACACTTACATCGTCGTTATAGCCCATGTGCATTCCGCAATCGAACATAATATTTTTGCCACCCAAAGTGACAAGAATGCAACTTCTACCAACATCTTGCCCAGCGCCTATTAAGCGAAATGAGTCATGTAAATGATCTCAAAACAAATTTACCCAAAGGAATGACCCGAATGGAACTCATGACTTTACCGAAATTTTTTGTTGGTCATTGACGGTTGGCCAAGGACTAATTGGGATAAATAAATGTCCTCAGACGTTTAAAAGCAGCAGTACTAGTAAGAAATAGAACTTAGTGAAACGACTGACGACAAGGTTCTTAAAATGGAAAAACACTGAAAAACTAGAAACACTCGTTTTGCCGCAATATACATGTTATATAGGATGAGCCATGATGAGTGTGAATATGGTGTTTAGGTTCATTTGGCTTAGTCCGAATTCATGAAATATTTCAACTTATTTCTCGCTTATTTTGTTGTTTTATAAACCCGAAAAGGATTATTGTTGTGTGGTTTTTATTTTACTACTGATTCTCTAAATTAACACACTTTTTAAAGCGATAGGAGAGGGCTCAGTACAGTGATTTTCAATTGAAGACAGGTATAATTGAGAAGCTATTAAACTATCATATTTGTCAACAAATAGTGGATTCGGTAAATTCTACTCACACATACATTAACTTTACTTCAGTCACTTCTTAATATGATTGCGTAAGTGACTATCAAAAAAAAGCATTCTCCTGTCTGAACAATATAAAAACATGAATAATACATGAATACCTGTAGTGAGATGAGCAAGCTAAAAGTGGTTACGAAAAAAACCTCTCCATCAGTATCCTTGAAAAGAGGTCTAGGCCAGGAATAATACGGTACAAAAAGGAAGACAGATCACCAAACCTTACGTTAATCAGCCAAGTGAAACTGCCTTTAAAAAAGCGTCATTCGGAGTTTTGTTAGATTGTCCATGATAATAAGCAGGGTACTTAAATTGAGGTGTCACTAGGTCAGGAGAATGTTTGATATATTACTTTTCGTCAATACAGCCTTTAAAAAGATGAGCTGAAGTCAATTACAATTAGATTTTGTCTGGATGTCGACTACGGGCACTCAGTACGAAGTAATTAGACTAATGGATAAAACCAGCAGTGGAACCTAATTTCATTGAACTGATTAACTTATTGAGTCGAAAACGACATTTAACTGTTTTACACAAGTACCGTAGCTAACTATCGGCCGTATGTCGTAGTGACTTTTCGAGAGCTACAGAATTCAGACGTTCTTCAGGATAGACAACAATTCACGGGAAGACCAATGAGGTTAAAGACGACTGTTAATGGACTTTAGTTGAATAGGATTTTGACATTTTCACTGTTGCCAGTTCGTGATGGAAACCCTGACTTCCAATCCTAATTCCTTGCACTGACCTATAGTCATTTTAGGCCCTATTAGGTAGGTGAGCTATTTTAAAGTCGCTTTATTGTCGCTCCATTGAGCTAAAACCTTTAAAGGTTGTCTATAACCCAATCTCTCTATTTAGGGGAAACCGCTACAGAAAATTTTGGGGGAATGGCACAAAACCCCCAAAATTTCCCTAGATGCGAGGAAATTCCCCCAAAGTCAGGTTTCACTGTTTTTCTTAAACTTCATTCTATTTTAAAAAGTCAAAGTAGGATAACGTGTACTTTGGATTTTACATGCTTGTTGGGCTGAATTATAAAAAGGCAAATAATCCTGAACATATACATGTAGATGCCACAGTTTTAACGGAAGCGCAATCGTTTGAAAAGCCGCTCACAATATAAAATATAACTGACTACTTTGTAACAACCTTGCATGAACTGATTAATTTCTTTACGCTTACTCATTGCTTTTTCAGTACCATCACAGATCTTCAGCAATGTCCAGTGGTCGATGGTTCAGTCAATCTTCTGTTTTGCGGTTATTTGTGGGTTTGTGTTAAATTATAACTTGAGTGGGTTGGTATCAGAGCAGTAGGATCACTGGACAGGTAGTTGATTGATTGGACTGCGAGAATTATGCACAGAAAATTTGAATATTGAGAGAAGACGATCGTTTGAAGAACTAAAAAACTATGGTTATTAGGTAGTAATGCAGACAGTGTCAGAAGGCGGAAATTTAAGTACTAAGGAGGAAACAGTGATAATAATCGAAAAAGTACTTACCAATATGTGAGAATGATGACGGTAGGTAAGTTACAAGACATGCGTCAAGCATAGCCAACCAAGTGAGTGATTACGTGTTTACTGGTTCTCCTCTTGAACCTATCAACTGATGGGACCATGGTCAAATCAACTGAGACAACATTCCTAATGTGCGTCATTCTTAATGAGAAAAAGTGAAACCTGCCAAGTATTCCGCTTTTTTGTGTGAAATTTTAAGGCGATTGCTTCGCAGAGCGTCGTGCTGAAGTTCCGGTATTCTTGATGGGTGATGCCATCACGGAGAGAACAATCTTGTGTTGGAGTCTATCTTCGCGAATTTATTCTTTATTACTTTCTCCCACATAGTTGCTAGTCTTTTTATTTGGTCTAATAGATCCTCGTGTCTTTTGGAGAAGGGAGCAAAGGTGATATGGACTCCAAGGTTCGGCCGTGAGCATGCTTTAAATGGCGTTATGAATAATTCTGTTGTGAATGTGTTAAGTCCTCATTACATAAGTTGAAGATTTGCATTTGCTTGGACTGCATCGCCAATATATTTGGGGTTAGTTTCTAAGCATTTTGTGGTTGCCAACCCTAGATTGAGCTCTGGTGAGACATGTGGGAGCTGATTTTCAAGGAGGATTTAAGTTGTTTATTTCCTATGGCAATGAGTGTTCATGACATAATATTTCGATAAGCTGCATTTAAATCAATCGTCTATTGCCGATTCATTTATTGTTATAAAGTCTCTTTGAAGCTCAAGTGAACACCTTTCGATTTTCATAAACCTTTCAAAATTATGTTTCATCTCTCATTGCAACAATCGAAAACCTAGCAAGCCACTCCAAAAGTAGCTATTGTAAGGGGTTTTGATTAAAGCGCCTACTTGTATACAACCTAGTGTGAGACATCACAAAACATAATTAGTCTAGTCGTAATTATATTGTTCTTTTTTGGATTTTCTCTTGAAATGCCAATTTCAAATACAAGAATTAGGCAATAAACGGTCAAACTGAAGTGGTATTGGTATTTGGTATTGTACAGGAGTGTACCGGCAATTTTGTGGCGAATACATCTAGCGTGGAATTCCAAATTTTGAAAAATTCGGACAGCACAACAGTGAAGATGCTACAGATATTCATAGTTCGACAACACTTTAACCAGTAACACGTACTATGACTCGTGTACATAAAGTGAAAACAAAAGACAGAAGCGAGGAGGTTCGAAGATATATTTGATAGGCTTACAATATATAGAGGATCGTCTGATCCAATCTGGCTGGCGATTGCAGGAGATGTTGAGCACGGTGTTTCCACTCGTGATCTGGTGCGGATGCGTGACCGAACGCCTTCAGCTAGGTAAGTCCATTAAAACTAAGGTGGTCGGCATCCGATGTCGAAGACTTACAGGGCTATTTATGTTGAAAATTTATTTACCACTACAACAGTTAACTGACGAGCTTCAGGTGAAATAAGACAAAATAAAACAATAAGCAATAGTTTTCGTTTAGCAGTATAGAAAGACGGTACATCCATGGTAAATATGTGCTACTAAATACAAAAACAATGGGCAGAAGATAAAAAGAATATATCTGAACAAGGCTTTCTCTAGCAGGTACAATTGATAATTACGCACAAACACTCTTTTCTGAAAGGATATGAGTCAGGAACTGGGTTCAGTGTCCATAATGGAGTCACTCATTTGCACTTAACACAACCGCAAATATGTACAACCCGCTGCACACTTCTGACTATTTATACACATAAAAAAATGCCAGGATAACACATAAAACACATTAATGCCATATGTAACGTCATATTTTGATCTCTATGTTGTCTCTTCATAACGTGAACTTGCGGCAGCTTACGTTGCTGACATCATGACTAATGAACTAAAATTGTACTTGGCTATCGTTGCTTTTTAGCAATTATTAGTGACATGCTAATGCCCCTCTGTAATATGTCGGTCAACATATCTACCACTCGTCCGGTTAGCCACAAGGCACATATACCTATATAGTACGTGCTTGCTGTTAGTAAGAACCGACCATCTATCGATGATTTTGTTTTCCATATGATGCGTTATTTATCTCCACAAACTATCTTATACAATTTTTTATGACTTGACCACCGCCTGTCTTATTGCTGAGTTCCATGGCCAGAAAGGAGATATGAGCGAATTATTATACGAACTACGAATCCCTGAAATAGCACAATTCAAGTCAGACAGAACTATGTGAGTGTGTGGAGATATGACTGACAGGTTTATTTTGTAAATAGTTTTTAATATTATTTGTATTTATCTTGTCAACCTTTCAATGTATGTATATTTATCATTAAATAACTGTACCTGTTGTTTCAGTGAAGACCGAATAATAGTCCATCATGGATAACTAAAACGGTCAGGAAAATCCTTAGAAAAAGGAAGAATCACTGGAATATGTTCATCTCTACTGGCTTAGAACAATACAGATCCAGTTATTGTAAGATTAGGAATGCCTGTAAAGCGTTAATAAGCAAGACTAGACATTCATACGAAAAAAAATTGGTTAGGGATTCTAGATATAGTCCGAAACGGTTATTCTCGTATATAAAAAGGCGAACTAAGAGAAGCGATGGAATTCCATCATTTTTGATACGAGACAATCCATTAATCTTAGCAGAGAATGATGCCGAAAAAGCTGAAGCTTTATCGGAATATTTTAGTAAAGTGTTTTCTATCGGTAATGAGAAACGACCAATGATTCATCGTGACCGTGACAGCTCGCTGATGGGTCCAGTAGTCATTGAGAAAGGTACTGTTTTAAGGCTACTTCAGCATCTCAAACCTGATAAGTCCAGTGGTCCTGATGATATTCATCCTAGGATTACGAAAGCTATGTCAGATGTAATTGCTGAACCATTAGCGATACTGTTTGACATATCGCTAAGGCAGTCCAGACGGCCAGAGACTGGAAAGACGCTATAATAAGTCCGGTGTATAAGGATGCGAGTAGGGATTTAGTTAGTAACTATAGGCTCGTTAGCTTAACTAGTGCAGCTGTAAAACTGATGAAGAAAATCATTCGGATAGCTGTTATAAACTATGTTGAAGGGCAAAATCTTTTCTCCAGTGCACAACATGGTTTTCGGAAAGGCCTATCTTGCTTGACAAATCTTCTCATTGCACGAGAAGATTGGGCTGCGGCAAAGGATCGGAATGCTCCTGTGGATGTGGTTTTCATAGATTTAAGTAAAGCCTTTGATAAGGTTTCCCGCTCTGGTCTTAAATTCAAACTGAAACGTTTTGGAATCAATTACACAGTCGTCGATTGGATAAGTAACTTTTGCCATGACAGGAGACAAAGGGTAAGGGTTAATGGGGCTCTCTCCTCGTGGGTACCTGTAAAAAGTGATGTTTTCCAAGGCATAATCCTAGGTCCTCTTCTCTTTTTACTTTATGTAAATGAATCGCCAACTGTAGCAAAACCATCCGTTCTAGTCTTCGCTGATGACATAAAGATTTGGAGGCCCATACATAGTGTGTCGGATAGACAAGTATTACAGGACGATCTTAGCTCATTGGTGGCATGGTTGGGCAAGTGGTCATTAGAAGTAAATCCTAATAAGAGTGTAGTGATGCAGTTAAATAACTCTGATGAATCGTATGACTATACACTACGTGGATTCGTGCTACCCAAAGCAAGAAACTATAAAGACTTAGAAGTTATATTAAGCAATGATCTCATAACGACTAGTCACTGTAAGGCTGCTGCTGCAAAAGGCTATAGGGTATTATGGTCAATTTGTAGGTTTTTTCAGTATTTAGATGATGAAATGTTTGGATTACTATACCCGATTTATGTGCGACCACATTTAGAATACGGGATTCAAGCAGCGTGTCCTTGTTTCAAATATGAAGCAGATATGCTAGAAAGAGTCCGACGAGCTACTAAGATGGTACAAGGTCTAGTTGGCCTATCTTATGAAGACAGACTGAGACACCTTAACTTATTTCCGTTATCTTACCGTAGAGTACGGGGTGATCTAATATTGGCTTATCGTATACTGAACGATGACCTTGGTATTAGCATGTCTTATCTTTTGCTTCCGTCTAGAACCGATCATTTGAGAGGACATTCGAAGAAAGTTCAAAAACCAAGATCAAACCGTTTACGTCTGTAGTTCCGTTTCTCGCACCGGATAGTGAATTACTGTAATTCTCTACCGGAACACGTAATATCAGCACTGTCTGTCAATATATTCAAAACGAGATTGGACCTCCACAGTATTACAAACTGCAAGGATTAATATAGGTCGACAGACTTCCTATCCTCATTACTGAGGACTGAATGACCTTGAAGACACTTTCCGTTGTGTAACTACATAGCGTGACATATTGTTGCTTGCTAACAAACACATTGCTACACACATATTCCTCGTTCTATTTTCGTTTGTGATTGAGCTAACTAGAACCTAAATCAAATATTACCTACATTTATAGACTGTGAGTGGGAATATACCATACCTTGCATTGGATTACACTACTGGAAAGTTCGTCAACCAGATTGGAATTACCAAGCATTTATAATTGTGGTTTCTTAGTATCAGACCAAAGCCGGACAC